GTACACCGAAAACCACATAATATTGCTGAGGTAAATTAAAGAAAACCAACATAAGTGGAATGATATGTTGTGTTGATACTTCCCCATCTTGTATAGGGGCTGGATTTGTGGACTCGATTCCAAATGGAATGTGGAAAGGAAAAAGCAGTAACTTCACAGTGGAGAAACCTGACAAATATATTTGGCCCTTGAACAACACAGGTTTGAACTACAGGGGTCCACTTATATGCGTTTTTTTTCCAACAATAAATAGTATAGTACCGCGTGATCCCTGGTTGGTTGAATCCACGGATTCGGATCCATGGATACAGAGGAACCACATATACAGAGGGCCAACTTTAAATTATACTAGGATTTTCAACTGTGGGGAGGGTCAGTGGCCCTGACCCCCACGTTGTTCATGGGTAAACTGAACATGGATAATACCATAGCCAAGGGACCAAGGTTAACATACCAATGATCAGATATGTGGATAGTATTTACTCTCTAATATGATGAGAAGGGCACTGACCTTTGTGTTATCCTTCTCTGCCACTCCCAAAATAATTCCAGTCTAATCAGACAAACCCAAATTGAGTGACATTCTACAGAAAACCTAACACCTGCAAAACTATCAAAGTCATAAAAAGTAAGAAAAGACTGATCATCACGGATTAGAGGAGACTAAGGAGGCACGACAAAAAAAAATGCGATGTGGTGTATCCTGGATTGGATCCTGGAACTGCAAAAGGGCATTAGAGGCAAAACTGATGAAATCCAAATAAAGTATGGAGTTCCATTTACAGCAATTTGACAATATTGATTTCTTACTTTTGACAAATGCATCATAGTAATATAAGATGTTAATATCAGGAGAAACTGGGTAAGGTGTATAAGGAAACGTCTCTGTACTATTTATCTACAACTTTTCAGTAAATCTAAAATTATTCCACACTAAAAAGTTTCTTTAACAAGTTTCAGAAGGCGTTTTTGGTAAGAAACTTTCAAGCTGATACTAAAGCTTATATGAAATTTATATCGACCTAGACTATTACAATTTTAAAAAGTAAAACAAATTTAGATGCTTATACTAACTGATTCCCAGACTTAATTTAAAGTTATGATAATCAAGACAGTGTGTTGTTGACAAAACGATAGAGGTATAGATGAGTAGAACAAAATCAAGAGTCCAAAAATAGGTTCACACGTATATTGATTAATTGATACTTGGCAAAAAGGCTCACGTAATTCAATGGGAAAAGATAGTCTCTTCAATAATTTGTGCTGGAAAAACCAAGTCTCTAAAAGGGGAAAAAAAAGAACCTTAACTTTTACCTCACACCATACATAGAAATTAAAATCATCAAAATGGATCATAGAGCTAAATTAGTAAGCTAAGATGATACAGTTTTAGAAAATATGATGTTCTATATGTGTGTTTAGAAAATTTGAAAATATTTTCTTTTAGAAGAAAAGATACGAGAAAATCTCTGCCCCTAAGTTAGGTAAAGATTAAATAGAACACAAAAGGCATGAACCAAAAAATATTTTAAGAAGTTAGACTTCATCCAGAGTAAAAACTTCTTCCCATCAAAAGACACCATTAAGAAAGAAAGGCAATCCAAAGGTCGGGAGATAATATTCACAAATACATATCTGATAAAGGACCAATATCCAGAATATACAAAGAACTCTTACAATTCATCAATAAGAAGACAGACCACCCAAAGTTTTTTAAAATGGTCAAGTGTTTTGAATAGATAATTCACAAAAGAAGATATACAAATGGCCAACGAGCCCATAAAAAGATGTCAACACTGTCAGTCTTCAGAAAAATGCAAACTGAAACCACATGAGATGCCATTATCTACCAACTAAAATAGCTAAAATACAAAATATTAAGTGTTGGCAGGTTGTGGTAAAACTGGAATTCTCTTGAATTGCTGATGGCAATAGAGAAGAATGAAACCACTTTGGAAAATAGTTAGGAAATTTCTTAGGAAGTTAAATATGCATACACTAACCATACAATCCAGCAATTCTACTAGGTATCAACCCAAGAGAAATGAAAACTTGTTAAACTCAGATGTGCGTAAGAATATTCATATCAACATTATTCATAAATGCCAAATATAGGAATTCAAATGTTCATCAGCTGACAGATGAAGAAACCAACTGTCATATATCCATACAACTAAATACAGTATGATTATATTTAATTGACATTGTGAGAATGGTAAAACTATAGTGACAGAAAGCAGAGTCCCCAAAATTGCATGAGACAATTCCTTTGAATGAATGAATCAATTAATCAATCCCCATCCCTCCCTGTCCCTCACCCTTTCCCTCACCAACACCCCCTTACCCCTCTATATATAAAAAATATATATATATATACACACATGAAAATATAAATATTTATTTTGATATATATGGTATATAAATATACATTTATATATTGACAAATACATTATAAATAATGTAAATACACACACACATCCTATTAGTTTTGTTTCTCTGGAGCAACCCTGACAAATACACAACCAAATGCAGTGCACAAATCTTGATTGTATCAGGTGAAAAAATAGCTATTTAGAACAATTTTTAAACAATTAGAAAAATTTGAATATGGGCTTATATTAGAAAATAGTGTTGTATTGATATTAAATCTCTTGGGCATCATGATGGAATTAAAGTATTCTTAGGAGATATAAGCTAAAGTGTTTAGGAGAGAAATGCACGGTGTCTCATTTCACTTTCCAGTGGCTCAACAAAAAAAAATTATAGAAATAAATGTTCATATATTTATGAGGTTCAATTTTCTGTAGGACTGAAAAATTCCAAAACAAAAATCTGGGTGGGAGGAAGAAAATAGATTTTAATACGGTCAGAGAAAATTAGGTATGATTCATTATCCAAAGATTCCAAAAAGGAAATATAAACTGTGGACTATCCAGACAAGAATATTATTCAGTACTAAGAAGAAATGAGCTATCAAGTCATGAAAAGACATGGAGAAGGCATTCCTGGTGGCACAGTGGTTAAGAATCCGCCTGCCAACACAGGGGACACGGGTTCAAGCCCTGAACCGGGAAGATCCCACATGCAGCAGAGCAACTAAGCCCGTGTGCCACAACTGCTGAGCCTGCGCTCTAGAGCCCGCGAGTCACAACTACTGAGCCCACGTGCCACAACTACTGAAGCCTGCACACCTACAGCCCATGCTCCACGACAAGAGAAGCTACCGCATTGAGAAGCCAGTGCACCGCAACAAAGAGTAGCCCCCACTCGACGCAACTAGAGGGAACCCACACACAGCAACAAAGACCCAACGCAGCCAAAAATAAATAAATAAATAAATTTATTTTTTTTAATATAATAATAATAATAAGAGGGAGGAAGGAAATTTTTGGAGGTGACAGATATGTTTATGGCATTGATTGCAGTAATGGCTCACTGAATATACTTACATACAAACTAACCAAAATTCCTACATTAAATATGTACAGGTTTTTGTATGTCAATCATACCTCAATAAAGTGTTTTTTTAAAAAAAGCTCAAAAAGGCACCTTAAGTCTATGTTCAAATCAAAAAATAGGCAGTAAACGAATTCCTTATTGAACACTTATTCCTTTATCTTACTCTGTCTCTACCATACCATTCTAAGTAGGTAACATTTACTCCATTTTTGAAATGGAGAAAACTGAGGGTCAAAGAATTTGACATACGATATACAGCTAGTTAGAAAAAGTCATTGAGAGGCGGAACTCCAACTCGCTTCTATTCTCTAAACTCTACCACCCCAAAAAATGTATAATCTCATTTCTTGGGGCACAGGGCCTTTTGACAACAGAAGACAAAGAAAAATTAAATTAGATGAATCCCTAATCTGCAGGTAAGGAGAAGAATCTGTGTTCTCTAACATAGAGAAACTATATTATAAGCTCCATGAGAGTTTTGCTTTCTTCTATATGTCCAGCACCTAATAAATATCAATAAATATCTGTTTAATCAACAAACAAATGGGAAATAAAATACAAAACCAGTGAAACATAATTAACAACAACACATGACTAAGTTCTTGAAAATGGGCCCCCATATTTTACATTCAGGAAGTACTATCTATAATCTTTAAGGAATCATTGATATTTGGAGAACTTTCATAACCTTTAAGTGAAAAAATGGACAATGTTTCCAAAGGAAGGGAAAACATCTATAGACCAAGAAAATTTGGACTGAATTTCTGAGCAAGTTTGGCCTTCAAAGTGCTGACCATTAGGAAAAATGATGACATTTCTAAATCCAATGCTTGATCAAGTGGTCTCGGTGGTTGATGGATTTACACAAATTCTCTCCTTAGGGATCAAAAAAAAACAAAAACAAAACAACGTACAATAGGACAATGATGTGGATTGTTGGCTCATTCTAGATACACTGACTTGAATACATATACCTACCTGATGTCTTTTTATTTAATAAGCCACACTATAGAAAGCCTGTTTCTATTTGATAATTGACCCAAAGAAGTTTCTTTATGTAAGAATAAGATGATGTTAACCCACCATTGTAAGGGCATGTGCCTTTGAGTTTTTTCAGGACTGGTGAGTAATTGGCACTTTTGCTGTTCTTCTTGCTCTAATTCTCCCATATTCACACCACACAAGTTGTCAGGGTTAAAGTTGAAATTGTTAGGGTTAAGGGTTCTGTCCCTACTCTCTGAAAAAGAATGTAATCCCTTGGGAGACACAGCTAAGTACTTCTGCCTCTAATCCACCAAACAAACCCATCTGAATGGCTCATCAAAGAAGCTCAACCTTCTAATATCCTGGGATTTTATTTCCAACACAGAAGAATTCATGATAGACTCAAAATAAATTTAGAATCATTTTAAAATTACACTAAAACAACTTTTAGTTCATTCATTTTATACCAATGTCATACATTAAAAAAGTCTAATATCTGTACATTTTTCTCATATTCACTCACAAGTTACAGAAATCTTTTTTTTTTTTGTAAATACCTTGTAACCAGGGCTACCCATTAATCCATCCTTTCCATGTCTTCCTGGTTCTCCCTGAAAAAATAAATACAAGTATTTTAATATATTTTTTGCACTAATTTTTCTTTTTAAAAGAAGATAGTAGAGGTTACATTTTATTTAAAGTAAAATACTTAAGAACTTTTTCTGTCAAACTCACAGCACGTCCAGGAAGGCCAGGAAAACCAGCATTCCCCTTTTCACCTTTTGCACCCTGTATTAAAAATAAAAATTTTAACCCTGGAGTTAAAATTCCAACTCGAACTTAAATAGGAAAGTAAGCTAACTTCCTTATGGAGTGACAGAATTCATAGAACCACAGCTTGCGTTGACCCTGCAGCTTTCAGCAAAGCATTATTTTACCAGGACACAACATGACATTGAGGATAAGATGGATGCAGAATTACAAGCATCTAAACACAGAAACCACTACTTGGCAAAAGTAAAAAGCAATGAGCATCTTAAATATAAAGAGACTAAACATTTCCTTCAATGTGAAAAAATAGGATTCTCAATGGACACTGTTAAACAGCTATCACTTCCAAGGAATCTCTCTGTAAATATTTTTAAAGTTCAGAAGGCTCAATAACACAAAGTATTCTTATAGAATACCATGCATAACAGTCAACAGTTATTTTTCCATTATTCTGGATAAATCCCCTGAGAAAGGTGAACAAAGCTAATTGCTACAACAGTGTGGGCTGGGACTGAAATTCAAATTTTCTATTTCCATTGTATTGAAAGTTCAATATGGATACTTTGTTTTGGGATCTATACTTCCCTTTTTGCCATAAAATCCAGGTGATCCTTTATCTCCCTTGGGACCCATTTCACCCTAAAAGATAAAAATATAAATCCTGAATTTTAGAGAAATTAATATTTTAATTTCTCTAAAATTAATATTTTGCTTATATATTAAACAAAAAACAATTCCAATTATAAACAACAGAGTTTAATATGCCCACATCAAAATAAAATAGAAATAAATTATTTAAAGTTTGTTTAAAAAAATCCTATTTCCCAGGCTTTATAACAAAAAGCAAGGAAAAATCAGCGCATTTGTTACTATAACAGGGCCTTATAGTAAAAGGTTTATAGTTAAGAGAATTTCTATATAATGAAAACTACTCATCAATTTTTAAATACTATAAGATTTATGGCTGAAAATTTTAAAGGAAATTTGTAAAAGCTTTATGTAAACTATGATTATTAGTCTTAACCCAGTCATTTACTTTAATATACTTTAATTTATATATCAACACTTATTTATAACCCATTTATAACATAAAGTACTTTCAATTTGAAATAAAATATGGCATTGCTTAATTTTAAGAAGAACAGATTTCTTCAACCTTTGATCCTGGCATTCCATGAAGCCCAGGAAAACCAGGAAGTCCACGGTCACCCTGAAAATGAAACAAATTAATTAAAGAAAACACATTTCAGTCTAAAAAAAATCAACATATATTCTTCCACCTCATTCTTGTCAAAATTCATTGGAAATAAATCTGCAAACTGTTCAGTGCACATCTACATTAAAACCCTATCCCTATGAAAGACCAATCCTCATTTATCAGGGTTTCATTTATAATCAGAGAAGGAAAGTATTTGGGGCCAGGGGAATCTCATCAGCAATGCTGACTCCACCCTTAGAGAGTAGCCACCTATTCTAAAAATATTTAGGCTCTTACAGTGGCAAGGCCTAGGAGTTAATAGAAATGATCAAGTGCCAAGACTCTGTGGAGAGAGCCATCCTCTGAGGTCCCAGCTCAGTGAGGACAAACCCTGAGCTGAAGGTCTCAAAACACTCTAGGATTCTGTGGAATTTTCTTCCAATTGCTGATCTTAGGAAATTGTTCATAGTAGGTATCTATCCAGATGAGTTTATGAAGAGGAAAGGCTATCTCTCCAAAGGAAGAGAGATGGAGAAAATCACAACAGCTTGATATTTAGTGGACATCGTTTTAAGACTTATTTCTGTGGGACATACTGGGTGCTATTGCCTTAGATTCAAAAATCTTAATTGTCAAGACACAGTTAAGAGGAGCCCAATGGCTGGCACAGCAAGATTTGGGTCAGTTCACTTTTATTTAGGCAAATTAAGACATTACCTACAAACAATTCATGATCTTCTTAGCTTGTCTGGTAGGGAGAGAAGAGGATGTGACCAGTTATCTATGATGGATGTAATTCTTAGAAATCTTAATTTAATGAGGGTTATTTATCCACATATTTTAAAGAGTGACACAGTTATTCAAGGTATAGAACCCTTCAAAGGCAACATTACTACTCCATTTTCAGTTTCCAGCACTATCTAATAAATTAATGGTGAAAGAACCACCTGCACTAACTCAGGCTGAATTGAGATGAGCAGTTGAAGGCCAGGTAGACTAAGATACACCTTGATAAGATGGAACTTAGCTGGGCAGTGAGTACTTAATAAAAGTACAGAAGAAAGGGGCAAATCAGGATTCCCTTTAAGGATGAACCAAGTCCCAGCTAAGACTTCCCTTCTCTGGCTACAGTTTATAGAAGACACCATCTTCAAACTTTATTTTCCTGGAGATAAGATAAACTCATCTCAGATGAACTGAAAAGACCAGGAGCATTAACCCACATTGGAACCAAAAAAATATATAATCTGGACAAAGCTACCCACATAGTCATAAGCAAGATTTTTAAGTAAAATAAAAGGCACAGCATCCATGTTAACATACAGCAATGAAATGGGGGAGGGGCAGAGAAATTTAGCAAAATGCTTGGGGAATACTAAGAAAATACCTACAAAATACAAAACACGAGAAAGTGTGACCCAAACACAATATACTCAGTCAAGTTGTGTCCAAGGTTTAAAAGTAATGGGTAGCAAATAAGTGGTAAATTTTAGCCAACATCATCTACAATAGGCACGTAACATGAAAGACAAAAAAATGCTCTTGTGTTGGCCATTGAGCCATTGGATCATCAGTTACTGCAGTAAAACTTAGCCTAAGTTAATTAATATAAAAATTGGTATACTAGGAAAAAGGAGGCTGTCAAACAATAACATTAAAAAATACATTTGGCAATGGCTTTGGGACTAGGTAGTGGGCAGTGAAAAATAATTTTTGGAGGTTGGAAATACAATGATTCATGGAATGCAGTGGTGAACAATTGATTTTAAAAAACTTTGCTTTTAATAAACTGCAAAGGCAAATAATGCATCCAATAAACATAGCTAAAGAACTGAGAAAAAAAGAATGTTGGTATCATGAATCAATTAGTGTTGGCTGTATTTGACAAGGTAACTATAAAAGAGATGAGCTCAGAAAAGAATCGGCCAGTTTGCAAGTCATAGTTAGAAGGCATAGACCAAGTCCCCAAATACTGGGATTGGGAGGATACACCTTTTTTTTCTCATCTCTGACAGGTAAATAATGAAACTGGAGAAGGCCTTTAAAAGAAGTTCAGTCAAAGGACCAATCAAGAGTGTGGCCATAAACACCATTCTCAAATTCTCTAAATCAGTTAAGGTGGGTCCAAAACATTCTCTCAAGATGGACATAGTGGCTCAAGAAAAAGAAATTATTAATTATTAATCACTAATTAATTAATGTAGAAAGGGCCGTGACTAAAACAGGACTGTGGATGATGTTACTGGCTGGAATCAAAAGTCAAAGATACAAAATTACAAATATGTATTTTGCTGTTGAGAGAATTATTCTTCCAAAAGAGCCACAAACCTGGACTAAAAGAGATTGTGACTGTTTGAAATTTAAAAACAATGTTGCCCAGTATTACCACTATTTTTAATGTTTTTCTAGCCAGTTTTGACTAGCCTATGAGTTTAGACAAAATATAAAAATAAGAGAGGTAAAGCCTAGAAGGAAGAAAACAAATTATCTTTATTTATGATCACATGTCTAATATGCCAACATACCTAATACCCTGAAATAATTAGTATGAGATATCAGTTAATTGCTGTCTTAAAAATTAATATACAAAATAGTTTTTATATGTATAAACAATAAGCAATATAAAAATAGATTAAAGTAAAAGTTACACTTATAACAGGACCAAAAGAGATAAAAATTCCTACATATAAACTTAGGTAATGTTGAGAACCAATAAAAAATAAAATTTTAATATTATTCCATTGAGTTTTAAGTTTGAAATAAAAAGAAAGATAAATCATAATCTTGAATAGGAAAATTCAGTATTGAAATTATGTCAGTGCTTCTAAAACTAATCCATAAATTCAAAGGAATCCTAATTAAAACATAAATAGGAATTCCCAAAAAAATTTGAAGAAAAGATACTGAGCTTTATCTGCAAAAATAAACATGTAAGAATAGCCAAGAAAATTTTGATCATAAAGAATAATAAGGAAGAACTAGGCCTGCCAGTATTAAATCATATTATGAAGTGACAATAATTAAAACTGGCAGTGGAGAAGATATAGACAGGTAAATGGAACAGAAGGGAAAGCCAAAAACAGCAGACCCAAATGAGAAAGGAAATTTAGTGATAATGATGGTTTTTCAAATAAATGAGAAAAAAAGTGAAATTTCAAAAATACTGTTTAGCAACTGGCTATCCTTTTAGGAGAAGAAAGGGGAAAATATGAATACTCATCTAACTTTACTCCAAATATCAAAAATTTTAAGATTAAAATATAAAATAATAAAAATTCCAAAACTCAAAGCAGGAGTAATTATATTCAAAATGTTAGAATGTTGAACCTTTCTATACAGATACAAACATAGGAGAAAAGAAGTAACACTTTATATATATATATATATATATATATATATATATATATATATATATAAATAGTTAAAATTTCTGTATGTCTAAAATTCCAAAACCCAAATCAAAACACATAAGCCAGAAAAAAATATTTTCACACAATTTATGACATGCACATAAAAATCAATTTTTAAAAAGATGAACAGCCCAGTAGGAAAAAATAAAAGATATAAATAAAAAGCAAATTACAGAGAAGCAACAATATTTCCAAAAATCATATGACAGGTACTTTATACCTTATTCACTAATAAAGGATTGCAAATCAAACCAGTACCATTTTTAACATATATTGATGAAAATCAGAAATTTAATGAAATTCAGTGCTGATAAGGGTGTGAAGAAAGATATTTCACACACTTGTTGGGGGAATACACACTTTCTGGAAGGTAAATAGGCAATTTGCCTCAAAATTTAATTATGAACTTAACACTTTGATTCTCTAATCAGTTCCACTTCTGGGAATTTTTCCTATGGATATACTCAGAAAAAGTTACTGAGAAATATGTACAAAGATGTTCATACAGTCTTGTTGATAATACACACACACACACACGCACACGCGCACGCACACACACACACTCAGTACAGTAAGGAACCACAGCCTCCCTAAGTTAGAGGCTTCTTAAACTGGGTAAGAACAGCCCCTATAAGTCTGTATCTATGTTTAACCTTCGGTTTACAATTTCTTTCATGAAGCCTTTTTGAATTTTCAACTTCCCTCTCAACTCCTAGAGTTTTATTCAACTCTCATCTTTGGCACTTAACATTTACTCTCTTAAAATAGTTGCTTTGTATATGTTTTGTGCTTTATTAGACACCAATCTCTTTGAAAAAAATCCGTTCTTGATGCATTCTTATTTCGTCTTAGTAGACATGATTATTATTCATCAATATTCAGATTCTCTCTACTTCTAAGCATATGGGGAGGCGGAGGGAATCATGCTTCCCTGACTCTTGAAGTTGGTGTGGTTTACAAAATTTGCTCTAGCTAATTAAAGATGAATGGAAGTGGTTTATGAGCCACTCTTTGATTCTCTAGGGACCTGCTACTGTAATTAGTTAAAATCTAGAGGGTGAAACTTTTGTTAGCCTGAGTCTGCTAATAAGTGTGCAGTTTGATGAGCAATAAACCTTTTTTGTTTTAAGGCATTGGCATTTGGCATTTGTGTGTTATTGCAACATAACCTACTCTATCCTAGCTGATGTCTCGCTTGTGATTAATGATAATTTACTGAATATGCAAATACTTTCATTTTCTAAAATATAGTACACACTCCTGAGTCCTCCAAGAAAATTCCAATAAAAAAATTATTTTGAGGAGTCACACTCTTGATTCCCACTGAGTTTACAAGAAATTAGAATAAAAGAGAATCCAAGATTTGCGGTAAGTTGGTTCCATTTTCCCCAGGTTGCCTCGAAGCTTCCTGACTGATAACAAGCCTTTGATGAGCCTGCCAATCTCACAGGTTGATCTAGAGTCTCAGTCTCCAAAGTTACATCAAGATTATTTATTTGAGTAGCAAGAGAATATGAAAACTAATATTTTAAAAATCTCATTCTTTCAAAATTTCTCAGTGTGTCTGTGTTTTCAATGCACATAATCCTTTATTCAGTAGCA